GGGGTTCGTTATCGTTCGCTGTTAATACTTAACTCGTATTTATTTGATGTAATTTTATTTTTATGATGAATTCTCAAGAACAGCAAGTATATTTTGCAAATCAAATGTCTGGTTCACGTTTGATCTATAGAAAAGCTTAAATCTTGAATGTGCCATATTGGAATAGCAGGTTTTCTGTAATGAACGACCAGAGTCACGAGGCTATACTTGGCTGCACGTGGGGCGGCGTAGGTTAGAAGAGTAGTAGAGTACTGAATAAATTTTAAAGCTAGAGACCGGGTTCGAATCTTTGCTGTATCGCTAGATATTCCCCGCACTTTAATTAAGCTGTGGGTGCGTCATAACAGTAACAGTCAACCGTTTAGAATCGATGGTGGGTGGTAGGGTATTGCTACCTTCTCTTTGGCCAACTGTCCAGAATTAGGGACTGGGGTAAATAGTCTTAGTAGCTTTGTCATAAACAAAAGACACGAGGTATAATGAGGACTTAGAACATCAGCATTTTTTGTAGACATTTCTTGACGAATATATGAAGAAATATAATTAAGTATGACGGTAAAGTGTAAGACATAACTGTGGGTAGTGGATGCCATAGTAGTAATAAGTAGAATTACTGTAACTTTAAGTTCCTTCTTCTCTCTCGGATTACCTTTCAATTTTAAACAATTAACGACGTGTAACTTTGTTTAATTGGCTGCTCCTATACGTAGTGCTCCAGTGCGACATTAACTTGATGTTAATATTTACCAACAACGAAATAACAGGATCAAACGCAATTGAATATAAGAACTATGACAAACAAAACTCCTATTTATATGTCGAAAATATCCGACAATGTTACTAATGCTCTGTATAACATAAGATTTAAGTAAAATAATAATAATAATAATACAAGCTATGCGTCTGCCATCCTTAAACGTTGGGAATAGCCTGTCTATTCAATTATAGCTGGAATCTTGTCAGCGACAATGACCTCTCGCCGTCAGGAAAGGTGTCCTAAATTTGCGACAGACTGAATAGTTAGGGTGACGGATGAAATAAGACAAGCGCATGCGTGCACGTGCTTATGGAGGGGAAGTGCGGCACAGCGTGGTGGATTCGCTCCAGAAGACACGGCTGGTTTGTTCGTTACGATCCTGGATACGTCTGTGTGTATGTATTCGTATCCTAATTTGATGGTCGGGTAAATGCGCACGAGAGAATAGGCCTGTTGCAGGCCCATCTGAACCAGTATCGACTCTTGTGACACCGTGTTTTTTCACCTCATACGAACTGCAGAAACCGTTCATGTCGTGCCATTATAGTCCCATGTAGTTACTTTTACAACACTGGAAAGGTTTACCGGCGATATATTAGACATTTTTTGAGTGTTTTAAGACATTACTGTAAATATATATGTATAGAAAGAAGCGATAGGAACTGTGATATGAATATGAGGTTGGAATTTTTCACTGTTTAACTGATAATCTGTCACACACACTGTTTATTTTTCAAACTGGTGACAGAAGTGGAACAGCACTCCTGTTCAGGCTTAGCCAGTTTCACTGATAACCTAGTGCTGGAAAAAAAAAGCAAAGACTTAGAAAACACAGCCAAAACTGGCTATATCATTCTTAACCAGTCTGACAGAAGAAAGATGTGGAAGGTTAAAGAATGTGCTCAACATTCTGTTTGTTTCCTAGCCTTCACAGAATGGGTAAGTAAAAGTTACGTATCCTTTTATTTTGATAAAATTTAAACTCTTTCATAAAAACAATAACAATAACACGAGAGCAAAAAATTACTCAATTTTAAGTCATGCAGTACAGTTTGTCGTCCGTTAATCAACAGCTCTGTTAAGATTGCTCAACTGGAAGGAGAGATAGGATACACTTAATACGAAACTTTCTTAACCCGTGACGGATACCCCCCCACCCCAAAAAAAATTAAAAAGAAGTAATCCAGTTCTTTAAAATCTGAAGTGTTTATTTGAGGAAATAAAATTGTTATAAGTCTTTGAATAACAGAGGGCGTAACTAACACAACCAAAACGACAGTGTGATTCGAATTTGCATGTATGATGTCTGACTTGAACAAAATGGACGGCAGATAAAATATATATATATATATATATATACAGGAAGTACAATAACACACTAGACAGATAGACAGATGAACGAATGGATGAGTGAACAGACAGATGGATACAGAAATAACTAGATATTCAACGCCGTATTACACAAATAATTATGTTTGTCCTGCCAGAAAAAAAAAAAGACGTCAAAGGGAAGTAAACGACATCACATAGAAGCGATATGCCACCAAACTGTAGGCTATTGATTGTTTTAATGGCTTGCTTCTTTTAAATATATTAATGGCCACAATCCACCTGTATGTTGGATTTCATATTCTACTTCATCTGTCGGTCGTCTGTGTTATAATCAACTAACACATGGATTTGTTTTCGCACTTAGTTAGGAATAAGAATATTTAGGTCATATTTAATCATAATTTTACAGATGGATTTGTTTTCGCACTTAATTAGGGAAACAATATTTAGGTCACATTTAACCAGAATATTATAAATGGATTTGTTTTCGCACTTAATTAGTGAAACAATATTTAGGTCACATTTAACCAGAATATTATAAATGGATTTGTTTTCGCACTTAATTAGTGAAACAATATTTAGGTCACAATTAACCAGAATGTTATAAATGGATTTGTTTTCGCACTTAATTAGTGAAACAATATTTAGGTCACATTTAACCAGAATATTATAAATGGATTTGTTTTCGCACTTAATTAGTGAAACAATATTTAGGTCAGAATTAACCAGAATGTTATAAA